ACGGCAACGAGATCATATATATATTCCTGATGCGTCGAGTTACATACTTTGAGGCCTCTGAAATATATAGAATACGCAGTTACAAGTGGCTTGCTTCATAAGCCTGAAAAGCACGTCTGACAGTGACGGTAGCGCAAGCAGAAAGCGAACTCACTCTTCTGGGAACCCTACGAACTTGTTGATCTTCTCCATAGGAAACATTGTACGGAAACGCTTTAGGTGAATGATGAGGACCTCGGGTAAACGCCAAATTTCCAATTTCTTGGATGCCTGTCTGGGCTCCTTGCACTTTTTGCAATTCCAGGGACTTTGCGTACTAAAAGTTTCCTTCGTGGTAAACAACTGGAAACAAAGATCCAGGTCCAGTTTCTGATGGAGCTCGTCGGTGTGAGTAAGGTAGGAGAATGCCGATGGGACACGAATTTGGGGAACCGAACAGTATTCTTGAATAAAAGCACGAATTAAGATCGGTGAAGATGGATGATCAGTCCCATAAAGGAAGAAGGGTACAAAAGTTTGGCCAGATACATTGTTATAGAGGCTTTTTAGTTACTTGCAGGTTAACTTATACAAAAAATGTGGAGCTATTGTTCTGAATGGCTCCATCATCAGTGATTCTAACACTCGGTTTCATAATGGATATGAGGCGGGACTAGAACGCCCGCGGGCAGCGTTCTACGGGTTTCCGAGAGCAAAACAGTGGTTGGGCAGCTATTTTAACGGGCTGGGTTCGTCTGAGACAAAGAGATACAGTAATATCTCGTGAACTTGTGTCTTTAGATACGCAAAATTTTCATGAGAACCGCATGCATTTGTGCCCCCAACGATTTCCTATATTTAACAATTGCGCACTGTTCGACCTTATTTATGAGTGGTTATGCTTTTAAATCATACTACTTTACGTACTAATATAATGTTAATTTTAATACCTGTAAACTGTAACAAGAGTACTTACATGTTTTCTTTCCTTTATTAAATTACACACTCGGTTTATTAATTCAGTGACATATGTGGTTAGCCCAGTTTTACTTCCCGTGAGCGCATAATAAAGCGATAGCCAAAACATTAGTGTTATAAATGCGCTAGTTTGCCACGCTTCCGTTTTTTTTTTTAAGTGGAGCATTTTTGGTGTAAATTATGAAGCTGAATTTTAAGTGAAATATAGGTGC